TGTTCTTCTTGCTCATGACTGCATTGGCTTTTCTGAGTCTTTTGTACTTCCATATAACTCTTAGGATTTTTTCCCCATTATTTCTATGACAAATGTTACTGGTATTTTGATAAGAGATTGCATTGAATCTTTAGATTGCTTTCAGTGATAAATAGTTGAGTTTTAAATTATCCATATTTTAATGATGGTTGGCTTTATTGAAATCACGAGGTCATAAGGTTTCTTGGTATTTGAGAAATATGATGGAATAGGAGCAGGTGGGTTAGAACAGGTTGTACTAGTTATCAAAGCCAGGGGCCATTAGCGTTTAGTGGGGACATTAGCTGTTGGGACAAACTTCGATTTTTTGTGTTTTGTTTGAGTTGGATTCTCACTCTGTCGCCAAGGCTGGAGTGCAGTGGCACGCTGCTGGCCACCACAGCCTCGACCTGCTGGGCTCAGGCAATCCTTTCACCTCAGTCTTCCAAGTAGCCAGAACTACAGGTGTGTGCTACCACACCCAGCTAATTTTTTGATTTATTGTAGAGAAGAGGTCTCACCATGTTGCCCAGGCTGGTCTTGTACTCGTGGGCTCAGGCAATCCTCTTGCCTTGGCCTCCCAAAGTGCTAGGATTATAGGCTTGAGCCACCGCGCCCGGCCAAACTCAGATGTTTTAACACATTGCCTTAGAGATAGACATATGCATTGCCCATTTAAAGAATGAATTATATTCCACAAATGTGTTTGCAGTTTGGTTGTTTACAACTTGAACTGCATTGTCTTATACAGACGAGTCCTATAAACAAAGTACTTTTGCAAAGAAAAGAATTGTGTGCAGTTTACAAAGCATTTTCACACATTTGGCCTACCCAGTTCCCTGAGGTAGAATTTACTACCATTACCATTTTGTTTTTAAACATTTCAGTCAGCAGGTGTTGCTGAATGTTGACTTTGCAGAGTACTTTGGTAGGCTCCCAACTGAGATATATAAGTTTGGGTCATCAGTAATACAAAAACTGATTCCTTGTCAGATGGGGTAAAATCCATCCCAGCTGACTTACTATACGTAAGTATGTACAGTGTACATGTATATGACCTTTTTGAGTGTAGGAACAAGAAAACAGACCATGTGAGAAGACTCCTTTTAATATAATGTGACCTATCATAATTACTGAGAGTCCAGATAAAGAGTGTGTTCGGTGGAAAGACCTGTTCAGAGTTGTTAAGTTCTTGAAGTTGCTAATTCTTCAACTGTGACAGATCACCCAGGCAAAGAAGGGTTTGGGGGACTATAAAAAGCAGTGTACAAAGAACTCAAGTAGTGTCCACTGATTTGGTGAAGACACCTTATAATTGGTGAAAGAACTGTGTCTTCTTCTGCTTAAGATGGATGAATTGTCTGATTCTAGGACCTTCTGGAGATTTAATTGGAAGGCAGAACACCAGGTGGAATTGTAGAAGTGGGCAGAATGCATACATGGTAGTGATGTTTGAGATTTTTGCTCTCTGTTGCCTAAACCACAAGAAGACAACTTTTTCTTCTCGTTGCTTGTGTGGTAGCTGAAATATGGAAAAGTACTTGAGAAACGAGCAGCAAGCCCTCTGGTTCCCCTGAGAACACAAGAAGTCTAGGAAAAGAAGGGCACATGGGGGAAATGTCTCTGGAAGAAATACTGTGTTGCCTGTTTCCTGAAAGTGCTATGAGCACACCTGTCGAAACAGTACAGAATGGTGTCTTCATGCTGCTCTCATCTGTGCCCATGTGTGTTTGAACTCTGCTGTTTTTCTTTTTCAAAAGTTAACAATGATCCCTGGTAAAGATTTGCTTAACTTTTTATGGAATGGACTCTTTATTGGTGGCTTAGAGGCAAATGAAGAGAAATGTTTTCCTGAGTATACTTAATATTGAAGTTTCATCTCTGGTAAAATACTTCTTTTTGAGGGTTTTGGTGGTGGTAGTGGTGGCTGACTGGTTTTAATTTGAGATTTAGGCACAAAAGCTATAGGTCATAGGCTTTAATCTGATATTTTCCACTGTATTGTGACAGCTGTTAACTGCTTATGTAAGGGTTGTCAGTTGGGAAACTCGGATAATCTCGGAGACTCAGGCTGTCAGCTCCATATTGAAGAATTGACTCTCCACAACCTGTTGAAAGGTCTGCCTGTTTACTGAGAGCTGTTCACAGTGTGTTGCATGGCACTTAGAAGACTTCATTAAGCAACGTAGATTTGTAGGAAGTCACTATTTCTCACCAACTGGCAGTGTTAAATATCACGGTACAGTTTCATTCCTTATAGAGAATGTTATAAAGGCAGTGGAAAGCAAGGAAAACATTCTTGGCAACTTTCCCTGCCCTTTTCTCTTCTTTTAATGACAACCAAGTAGTCCTTCTCTTGCCAGGTGGAGGGGTGCTGAGGCTAAGGGGGACAGTGGGATTCATGAGGTGGGTGTGTCTAACTAAACTATAACTTGGATTGATGGGGGGTTTGCACGCCCAATACCCAGTGCCTAAGTCACATGACCTTCTCTCCCTTCCCCATTCTCATACATACATAAAAACAAGGTGAGGCTTTTCCGATTTGGAGAGACTAATTTGAGGAGTCTATGGAGGGTCCAGATGGAGCTGAATTTTGGGCAAGTTTCTTCATCTTTCTGCCCCTGGGTCTTAATTTGTGAGATGGAGGTAACAGTTCCTCCCCTAGGGCCTGTTGTGCTAAGTCTGGCTTTGGGACATGCCTGTCCCGCGATGACTGAAATGGTTCTGCCTCTTCTGCTTCAGGTACATTACCCTGCACCTGGAGCGCCTGGCACGGAAGTGGAGTATGGTAGTGTGCGTGGCTCTCAGTGGGAAGTGGACATTCTCATTCTTCCACATGCCACACAGTTGGGAGGGTGTTCACCTGGAAGTGAAGAGGGCAGATGACAAGAGTCTCCAGAATAGCTCTGACAGAGTGGCATCTTGATGTGGGAGGGCTCACCCTGGTGACCCTTGCCTTGCCTCTTCCAAAAGATGAATTTCTCTTCCTCATCTGTTGCTCCCCAACCCCAGGAGTGCTGTGGCCCTTGGTGAGAAAACTAGTTGGGAAAGCCTGTTGTACATACTCACCTCTTGCTGAGGGGCTTTGGTGAGAAGAGGGTGTAAGTAATGGCTTAAGACTTAGGTTGTCACTTAAGGGTGCATATATGACATTTAGAGCACAGCAGTACTTGCCAGAAACACAGGTCATTTTTGCACATGGCTTTTCTTGATCGTCTCCATCGTCGTCATCAGTATCATCAGATCTCAAATGGTCTAGGGTCCTTTTCACTTGTGAAATTGTGGGTTGTTGACCAACAGAGGGAGAAACACTTCACCATTCTTGTCTAACATTTTCTTATGAGCAAGTGCTGCGTGTTAAAAGGAGCTAAGGCTGAAGTTGACCTTTTGGGCGTGCTTGATCTTCCATGTGGACAACTACTCCATTTGGGGTCCCAGTGAGTGCATGTGAAATGCTTTGTAGTGGTCATGATCTTTGTAAGTATGACCACAGTCAGACTACCATTTTGAAGGAGTAAAATGTGTTAGAATGACTGCTGCCGCCTTTATTAAAACCTGAAAAGGGAGTCGTCCACCTATTACATGTGTGTGGAGGAGACGGTTAAAATACATTACCCCTTGTCCGCGGGACTTTCAACATCGGTGCTTGAATCTCTTGCCTAGTGACAGGTGAGGCCACTTGTAATCCAGGCTGAGGCGAACTCTCAAGGGTTCGTGGTGTGCCATCCCATGACCAAAGCCACATTACCTCCAAACCACTACTGAAGCAGTTGGAGCACACCCTGTGCCTCCAGTGCTCAGGCTTTGCCCCTCCTCTCCTGCACCCTTGCCAGTTACATCGCCTCCACTGCCAAGAGGTGCTTAACTTAGGAAGTCAGCGTGTCGTGCACCTAGTGACTCTGATCTTGTTTTCTGGTAAAGAATAGTAGAATAGTAGAATAGTAACTTATGTAAGAATACAGCTTTGTTTTGCTTTTTTCCAGTCTGCCACTGCTGACTCTCCCGTTGATGAGTCAGACCTAGTCTGTCCAGTTATTTCTCTCCCGTCAGCCCCTCCATCCCAGGCAGGAGCTGTCAGGGCTGAAGGTGGCTGTTACATTGTGGCAGCCAGTTGCTTTACCTCCATAACGACCCATTTGTGTATTTGTTGTCCATTTTGGGCTTGGAGAGTTTATTCTATTGCAAACGCCTATCTAGACGGGAATGTCTTTGAGAGTTAATGCTATGTAGAAAATAACGCATAGGCATTCCTCTCTCCCTTTCTCATTTGGGGCTGTGAATGGTCATGCATTGTGAGAGTGTTGGCGTCACTTAGCATTTGTGAACAATGGCGCTAAGAGCGTGTCAGTTGGAGATGGGCGCAGACATGATGGTTGATGGGCACAATGAATGTATCACTTGTCTAAGGTTTTTTTTTACAGTGACTTGCAGTCTTCCCTCCCTTGGGAGCCAGTATGAACCGCAGTTACCTTTTATTGCTCTGTATGTGTTATGTGTGCCAATCACAGAGCTGCAGGGGGCAGAACAAGTTGTAATAATTAGATTGAGGAGTGAATGTCACACTTCTAATTTCATTCTCTTTTCAAGGGATTACCAGTGTCCATTTAATAAAATGAGATTAACCCTCTGCAGCAGGAGTATTTGAAAACTGTCAGTCAGTGTAATCTTGACAGCTCAAAAGGAGTAGTGTTCCCAGCAATCTTAGAAACACTGTCATGTTTCATTGGCCGAGAAAATATTTTACTGCACAGGGATGTGTGTGTTTGTGTTAGCACATGTGAATGTATCATTTCCTTTGAAAAAGGAAAAGTTTTATGGACTTACCCATACGAAACAATAATATAGATATAGCATGTACTACAGACTTTTGTTTTGAGTTGACTGATATCAGTAATAAAGTACCTAAGAAATTATGAGACCAAATAGAAATTATTAAAAATACTTAAAGCAAATAGTGATCTATCTTTTCTTGGTCATTTTAGAAAACCTCGGATCAATTCTCAGCTGGTGGCACAACAAGTGGCACAGCAGTATGCCACTCCACCACCCCCTAAAAAGGAGAAGAAGGAGAAAGTTGAAAAGCAAGACAAAGAGAAGCCAGAGAAAGATAAGGAGATTAGTCCTAGTGTTACCAAGAAAAATACCAACAAGAAAACAAAGTAAGTTTCTGGCTCACAAAGTACAGGGTATTAATTTGTGAATTAATCCAAGATGTGTTTTAAATGTCTCTGTTTTTTTATCCCTCTCTTTTAGACCAAAGTCTGATATTCTGAAAGACCCTCCTAGTGAAGCAAACAGTATACAGTCTGCCAATGCCACAACAAAGACCAGCGAAACAAATCACACTTCAAGGTACTCGACATTGCAGTTCAGTACTGCACTGCTGCTCTGATTTACTTAGTATAATTTAGTTTTGTGCCTGTGGGTTTGTAGGCTAGGAAGGTGAGGTGAAGAGCTGGGCATGGGCTGGTGACCTTCCTAAGAAAATCTACTTTAATACTATGGCCAAAATGGAAAAAGAGAAATGGATAGTGATTTTGCAGTGGCCCGAAGTGTTGCTATCAATCGTGGTTTCTGTTATGCTGGAGTCAGTCTGTACACTCATAGTCAGCTTTGGCATGGGGTAGGCAGTACAGACTCATTGCCATGGTGTCGTGAAGTCTGTGTGCATATTGGTGACATTCTGCCAGGAGTGGTTTTTAATCCCTAACTTGTTTGATTGGCTGTTCCCCCTGTGGTGTTGCTTTCAGGCCCCGACTGAAAAACGTGGACAGGAGCACCGCGCAGCAGTTGGCAGTAACTGTGGGCAACGTCACCGTCATTATCACAGACTTTAAGGAAAAGACTCGCTCCTCTTCGACATCCTCATCCACAGTGACCTCCAGTGCAGGGTCAGAACAGCAGAACCAGAGCAGCTCGGGGTCCGAGAGCACAGACAAGGGCTCCTCCCGTTCCTCCACGCCCAAGGGCGACATGTCAGCAGTAAATGATGAATCTTTCTGAAATTGCACATGGAATTGTGAAAACTATGAATCAGGGTATGAAATTCAAATCCTCCACCTGCCCATGCTGCTTGCACCCCTGGAGAATCTTCTGTGGACATCGACCTCTTAGTGATGCTGCCAGGATGATTTCTGCTTGCCATGGGCATCTGGCCACCAAGGAATTTCGCACCCTGACGATTACTCTTGACACTTTTATGTATTCCATTGTTTTATATGATTTTCCTAACAATCATTTATAATTGGATGTGCTCCTGAATCTACTTTTTATAAAAAAAAAAAATCTGCTGTGCACAATTTTCCATGTACATTACAACTGGTTTTTGTTTTTGTTTTGTTGGAGGGGAGGGCTGGGAGGGGGAGGGAACTTTTATTTATTGTGTTCACAAACTTCATCCTTTCAGCATATCCTTTTAAGTTTAGTTCTTTCTTCCAGTTATACTATGTACTATCAGTTTTGATATAACTATATATATATAAATATAAAATTATATATAAAGGGTTATTTGAAACCAATCCATGGCAACGCTGGTGCTTGATACACTGTGAAGTGAATACAACATTGAACAGCTACAGATCTGGGACAGTCCCTTCTATGAAAGTGCTGACATTTAATTAAAATCAGTTTTACATGAAGTATGTTCCAACCCACGTGGGAACTTGACTCTCTCATCTGTCTAAAGAGTACTGGATGATATAAAAATATATATTTTTTAAACAATGTGATCTCAAATTTAAAGACTGCTCCAGATAGCCTGCATTTGCGATGGAATAACTGACAAATCACAAGTGGTTTAGTTGGGGTGGGCCTTGGTCGTACAGAAGTAACTAAACTAGCTCCAGAATGCCAAGTATTCGTGTCAGTTACCATTCCGTGTTAACACTGCTGTTCTCACATACGCACTCACGAAACCTGGTGTTCTGTAACTCGAATTCCATCCATTTTCCAGACCTCTGCTCATGTCTAAGATAAATCTAGAAGTTGTCTCTTAGTTTTAAGGTTGAAACACTCTATCAACTGTACTTTTGGTCCACACAGGAAGCAGTCCCGTTTCTCCTTTCCACACGACATTGCTTTGATGGTTTCTATCATTGCCTCGTGTCCCCCGGCTTCACAAACTAGTTCCGCTGTGAGAATTCTTTTTTCTTTCTTAAAACCTACTATGATTCGTTTTACTGAACAAAGTAAACATCCAGTCCCAGCATGGAGCTTTTCAGAGTTTGGAGACATGTCTGATTCCCTGCTGAGGGCAGGAGACAAGCGTGAACGCTGAGCGCTGAGTGCCAGTGCCGCGGCAGGGATAGCTCCTTACCGCCAGCAGCATGAGACCTTTCCTCCTGGACATGACAGTGGCTTGAAGAAACTGTTCTCTTTTATACTCTTCACTCTTTTTTTACTGTCTTGCAGAAAGTCGAAGACCACTAATATAAGTCCACCCTTCCTTATTAAAAAAAAAATTTTTTTTTGTTTTACCTTGTTTTTGTTTGGATTTGGGACTCCTGTTTGACTTTTGTGTTCTTATACACAATTTGTAGTACTTCAGAGTCATTTCAAGTACGTGAATTTATTGTGTCCTTTATTGACCATACTTCAAAGACCCATGGGAGGGCAGCCCAATTTATAATGAAGCACCACATTTTGGTGTTAAAAACCTGGTTTGCTTAATAATAGAAGTAATTTCTATCTATGGAGGCAACAAGTAAAAAAAAAAATTAACAGCTTGAATTGAGTAGCCAACAGGAAAGGTTCCTTTCACATTTACATTAAAACTATTCTGTAGTCACTAATGTACCATAAGTTAAATTCTGTTCTCAAAGGTATAGATTATAAAGCAGTGCCATTTGTTGCTGTGGTCCTATTCTCAGATGCATGGACAATGTTTCCCTCTTTTTAAAATAATACTTGTATCTGGGATGCAAGCTATGCTTATCTTTTAAAATACATTTTTAAAGTATTTATTAATGAACCAAAGGAAATCAGATGCTTTTCTGTGAGCATCAGAATATATAATACATAGTGATTTGACTATGAATTTTAAATCCACATTTTAATATTAGTGGGATATTGCAAAGACATTCCTTCTAAAGTTTTAATATTCCTTTTATTAAGGGTCTCAGGGAGGGTAAATTAGTCAGCCATATTTATTTTCCAGAGGTGTAAGGAATTGCTAAGTTTTTAAATTAACTTTTTAAAAAAAATTTAAATGCCACCGAACTCATGTGGGTTGCACTGCTTTTTGAACCAATAAGTGTTGGTATGCACTTTGTTCAGAAACACTGTGTACTTTTTCAAAAACTAGTTTCATGTAAAGTGATTGGACCCCCTAGATTAGTGGAAAAAGCTGATTAACCAGCTACTCATAGGCTGCTAATTAATTCATTGCCAATGTCTTGGTTTTTCAGTTTTGCCTCCGTGATAAATTACAGATGGGGAGGGGTGAGGGAAGGGGAGGATTGCTTTAGAACAAGTAGCATGAAATTGGCATCCTGGTAGAAACTGCAGTTAGCAGTGGGAGTTACCTAAGCAATCGGATGTTACAGGGCCAGCCTTGAGCTGCTGTTGCGGTTTCTGTCAGGGTAGCAAGGTGGTAGATACTTTAGACTTTTGATTTTTGTTTTTTTTTTTTTTTTGGAAATTGACGATGTCCCTCAGGCATGTATTCTGGAAATGGAATTCCTGTCACTTCCTGCGTTTGCAGTTTGCCCTACAATTAGTAGGCAGCGCATAAAAAACACTAGTGTAGATTATGAAGATATATATTAAAAGAGGACCAGAAATACTTGGTATTCAGTGGCACAGAAAGCAGGTTAAAAAAATAAAAAAAAAAGCACAGTGTTACGCTTACAAGTTTCCATTTGTTTTAATACCACACAATCTTTTCATACTTGTGTGCGCACACGCACACAGCTTACCTGACTCGCTCTGTTTGAGTCATGTGGTTGGGGGAATAAAGATATCTTGACACCTACAGACTATTTTAATCAAAACCTTTCAGTTTTATCTGGATATCTGAAAACATTGGCAGACGCTTCTGTGAGTTTAGTTCCACTAAGATGTTTCACCTGCCTTATGAAGACCATTCTCAGTCTACTTTTTTAAGCTACCGTATCTTAAATTATTGAGAATTTATTAATTGCTGAATATATAATAACCTTTGCTTGTATGTAACCGAAAATGGTTTAAGAGCCAACATTTAGAGTATGACAATGGGGCTGAACAGTTTTTAATGCGCAAGCAGTTCTGTTCTTGTGTATGACTTGTAACCTTAATTTACTGTGTAAAGATGGTTACATTATTTCCTTAGCTTTGTTTGTTGGAGACAAATAGAGAATGCTTGTTAAGTATGTCAAAACATAATCTTGTGAATTTTTGTTAATGTATTATACGAGCTCTATTTTTCATTTGCCCAGAAAGACAGCTTGTATAACGCTTTGGGAAGTTTCTGCTCTGTAACGTCTTTAGAGCTGACAGTCTGTTAGGTTTGTTTTTTTCTTCATGCTAAAGTGTCAGTTGGTGGTTTTGTGAACTGGTCAGAAATTCACAGGTCTTAAATGTTTTGGGGAAATTTATATTGGACACTGCTCTTTGTCTAGCAAATAAAAGATGTTAATATATTCCTGTTACTGGCATGTGCACGACTATGTTATTAGAAGCCACTTTATCATTTTCCTGCTTTAAATAGAAATGTCTATTTATGAATTCTGCTTGTAGTTTTTTCACAAATAAAATAGTAAAATTTACCTTGGAAATCTTTATTTTTGTGGGTATAGATTTTAGCCCTTGGAAGAATAGTTACATTTTGTACCTAGATTTTTAACTTGTGGAATATTTCCAATGTGAATAGGAAACTCATTTCATTTAGAACTTGAGTTGTCTTTCAGAAGGTGAAACTGCTTTGGGTGTCTCAGTCCATGCCTCAAAGATGCAGAAGAAGACATAATTGAGCAGAAGAACTGCCAGATTTGGGGGGGGAGGGGGGATGAGCTCATGTTTCCTAAGTGCGACCTTTGAGATAGGTTGCAGTGATTTTAAAGAAAGGAATGAAGTTGATGGTAAGAATGGCTAATTCAGGACTGAAAACCCTCAAAAGACAACCCCTATTTCTGGCCAACTGCAGTGAGGTCAACCATGGCCCAGAAATGTAAACAAAGCATGGTATCAAACCTGAACGCCATGAAAGTGGTTTACTTACTGCCCCATGCTAGGGAGACTCTTGCCTGCCGCTGAGGTCACACTGGGCGTGGTAACCTTCCAAGGAACTGGAACCACTTCTGCACTTGAAGATCCATCCTTGATTTTTTTTTTTTGGTCCACATGAAAGGAAGAGAGCATAAATGGCGCCGGGCCCTGGTTTGCGAATGGATTTGCCCTGGTAGAAGAAAGCAACTAGTTCCCTTCTCCTTTGTCCTCATTGTCCAGGACCGTATCATCACCCAAGTTTGGGCTCCTCAGAAGTCTTGGAAAGTATTGGAAGGGTTCAAGAGCAGGGGTGGATGGGGACTCTGATACTTCCACATGCATCGTTGGATACAGATAGGCAATCTGCTGTATCCTATGCCCCTGTGTGCTTTTGTGTCTGAGGAGCTCTTGTGAAGGTCCCCACTGCTGTTGATGCTGGTACCACCTTGTTGCAGGGAGGATGGGCACTGCCTCCTTACTAGGTACAGGCTGTAGAAGCAATACAGTGTCCTTCCAGTTGTATGGACTAGAAGAGAGGTGAAACCTAGTGTTGACACCAAGGGTCCACGCCCCCTTTTGAGGAATCCCATGGCTAGGGTGAGACAGGATCATAGAAGGGGCCCTTGCTGAAATATTCTTGCACGAAGACGGGGAGACTGATGACTTACTTAAACCCAACTGCCCAGGCTTGTGCCTTCTCTGCCCTTCACAGTCAAGTACCAACTGACCTCTGTCTGGGGTGGTGAAGAGAACATGTGGGACATCAGAGAGGACCTTGATCTGTCTCACCCTTGACCACCCCACCCCCAGCAGTTCTGAAGAGCCACTCCTAACTCTTAAAGCCAAAGCAAGGAAAGGTTCAGAGCCATCCTTGTGTTAGGATCAAAACTTGAGCAGGTTGTGTTTGATGAATACTGAAAGAAGCCACGGCCTTTCTTACTGTCTTTGGGCTTTTGTCAAGAAGTTACAATGGACATGGACAACTGGATACCACAGGGAAGGCCCTAGAAGGCTCTGGAGCGTGTCTGGAAACACAGGTATGCAGGTATTATCTTCGGCCCGATGATGCCTCTCCAGGCATAAAGCATGAGGCTGGGGTGGTGTTCACCATAGGGCGTTGGTCCCCCCATCCTGTCTGTCATCTGATGACACAGCAATGCTATGAAGTGAGTGGGGAGGGCACAGGCTGAAGCAGGCCCGCCTGCTCCTGTAGGTGCTCTTGACCTAGACCTGGCAAGTGAGTGGCACTGACCCTAACCGTTCCCCTCCCCACCCCCAGTGTGTGCCGTGTGCCGAGTGCCTCTCATCAGTCACAGCACTGCTTGCTACTGAGTCCAGACTCTGAGTCCTCAACACAGCTAATCCTTAGCACGTGTTCTGACCCACCCTAAATAACTGGAGAACCCTACCAGGCAGTTTTTAATCAGCTCTTCTATCGTGAAACCGTAGGAATGGAGGAGAAGGCAGGATGAGAGGCGTGGAGGAGTCAGGAAGGAAGAAACCAGATCTCCAACACCAACTCTTCAGCGTCCTGTTCAGAACAGGGTCCGACCGGAAGACTGGTAGGGAGGCCAGTGTGGAGCCCTGGAGCTTTCAACGCAGCCCTGAACCCCAGACCCAAAGGCCTGCCAGCCAGGACAGGTATCTCGTCATGCAGGCCAGACCAGACCTGCCCAGGCTGTTGTACCGGTTCTGTCAACCTGCGACTCTCAAATAGCTGGGCAGAACACCAGACGGATGTGACTGCTGGAAACAGCAGGATACAGCTTTGGAGCCAGAACTGGGCAAGACTCCCACCTCCGACTGATGGGGTGACCTTGGGCAGGTCTGCCTCCCCGGGCTCATTTTCCACACTTCTCAAGCAGGGGCTAGAGGTGTGTGCACACGTGCCCTGTGCTCTGCGCCAAGGAGTCGTGGGTAGTGCCTCCAGGGGTTGGTTATATTTTACCATGTTCTTAACCATGGGGGACAAACTTTTCTTCCTGAGCTTTTTTTCTGATGCATCCCTGGTAATGCCAGGAATTAAAAGAGTTTCTGTTTGTTACCTTTCCTAGCTCAGAGCAAAGAGCGGTTGGTTAAAGGCCACATGTGAATGAGAAACCCAGTGGTGGTTTTGACAGCGGCTTGATGCTTTTGTGTCTACAGACGGTGTTACAATGAATATGGGTTTTTCATCATTAAAAGTTTGATTTGGAAATGTTTACTGCCCTATTATTATTTCAGTCAAGGCCTCACTCTGTCACCCAGACTGTGGAGTGCGGTGGCATGATTATAGCTCACAGCAGATTGACCTCCTGGACTCAGGTGAACCTTCCACCTCAGCCTTCTTAATAACTGGAATTACAGGCTTGTGCCATCACACCTAGTTAATTTTTTTTTATTTTTTGTAGAGATGAGCTCTCACTGTGTTGCCCAGGCTGGTCTTGAACTCCTGGGTTCAAGCAATCCTCTCACCTTGCCTCCCAAAGTGCTGGGATTATAGGCATGAGCCACCCACCCGGCTGTTCTGTAATTGAAAAAGCTGGGACTCGGGAGATTGAGAGATCTGCAAAGCATGTGTGATCACACAGTAGGAGCTTAGGAAGTGTCCGTTTTGCAGAGTTGCGTATATATGCACATCTTACACTCATATTGCTCCATTCATTGAGAAAGGGACATTTTCATTGATGCATGAATTGCTGCAGACTCTTTGCACAGAGAAGTTTCAGCTACAAACCACTCAATCAGCCACACACACACTCATGGGGAGTGAATTCTAGATGAGAATCATTTTTTCAGCCTGAGTAATTCAGCCATCACAGCAGCCCCGGAATGAGGAGAGCGCAGTGTCTGGGAGCGAGGCGAATTTATAAATTGTATTCATTGCCTCTTCGCAGTTAAAGGAATTTGTACCCGTTTGGAGAAGTCTCCAGTAGAGTTATCTCATCGGCTGGAATTATAACAATCTGGAAAATGTGTGAATTTGAGGCATTCCCAAGTGGCAAGACCCTCTAATCAATTACACTGAAGTTCCACGGGACTCCTGCTTGCAGAGATCATCCTGACAACACGGACGAAGGCGGCAGACAGATAGGGCAATAAGAGGGAGAATTGCCGGCGGCTTCCATCCATCTCGGAGCAATCAGCAGCCTCGGTGCTGTTAATGCCGTTAATCGTGTCGTGGCGATGCGTGTGGGCTGCACAGCATGGCGAGAGCGGGGACCGCTTTGGTGGGCTGCTGAGCAGAGGCAGGCGACCAGCACCCCGGTGGGCTCACACCTCTTCTGCAGAGCCCAGTCGTGGGAACAGTGGCCCCGTGAGACTGAGCTGGGAATGGAGACGTGGGAATGGAGGCTGGGGGGGAAGTGACAGTTCACTCTGCAACCTTTGTTATGTTCTGGCTCTCTGACAGTTACTCACTTTGATCTGACTCTGTAAGCCGGTTCTATGCAGCATGGATGGCCAGCATCATAGCAAAATGAATTGGAGTAGGAAAAAACGGCACTTATTGGTGCTGTTTTAATACCTTACGTAGATGAGCTCGCTGAATCCTCACAGTGACTCTTGCATACACAGGGGTGGCAAACTACAGTCCGTGGGCCAAGTCCATCCCAATGCCTGTTTTTGTATGACCCATGAGCTAAGAATGGTTTCTTACATTTTTTATTGTTTGGAAAAAATACTTGGAGGATAATTATTTAAGTAGTTTCTAATCATTATTAAAGAGTAATGAAATTTTTTTGAGTCAGGGTCTCACTCTGTTGCCCAGGTTGAAATGCAGTGGTACGCTCACTGCAGCCTCCAATTCCTGGGCTCAAGTGATCCTCCAACCTCAGTCTCCTGAGCAGCTGAGACTACAGTCATGTGCCACCACACCTTGTTAAGTTATTTTCTAGAGACAAGATCTCACTATGTTGACCAGGCTAGTCTTGAACTCCTGGTCTCAAGCAATCCTCCCGCCTTGGCCTCCCAAAGTGCTGGGATGATAAGAGCCACTGAGCCCAGCCAGAATGATTTTTTTTTTTTTTTTTGGAGTTGGAGTCCCACTCTAGCCCAGACTGGAGTGCAGTGGCACACTCCCGGCCACCGCAACCACGACCTCCTGGGCTCTGGCGATCCTTCCACCTCAGCCTTCCAAGGAACTGGAACTACAGGTGCGCACTACCACGCCCGGCTAATTTTTGATTTGATCTTGCCAAGTTGCTTGGGCGCAGAATGATTTTTAAAGAATAATTATAATGTGAAAATAATTTAAAATTCAATTTTTAGGGCCTATAAGTAAAATTTTATTGGAACACACACACCCATTCATTCACATATTGTCTATGGTTGGTTGTTTTTCCCACTTACAATAGCAGAGTGGATTCACTTTGTGACAAAGATTGGGGGTTTAAAATATTTATACTCTGGCCTTTTATTGAAAATGTGTGCTAACCTCTGGAATATACACTCATCTAAGTTACATTCTACGAGGTAGGTACTGACACAGCCCTCCGTGTCTAGACTGGTCACTGGCACAGTCGACAATCAATTGTTGTGGTGTAGAGGAATCACTGACTCCCAGTTTTACAAATGAGGAAGC